CTTTCCCCCTTTAATTTCTCAGCCAAGATCATCTTGACAAGATGAGGCAAGGGCTGTCATCTAAACAGAAATTTCCCTCTGCCTCTCTTAATACTGTCCCTCTTGCTCACCAAGGATGGTGGAGCTGAAATAGACACAGTTTAAACTGGTGTCCCATACTGAAACATTTGCCTTCAGGAAGGCAGAGACCACAATCAATATATGCCTGAGATGACTCACAGCTTGCACCACAAACTGTTGTATATTCACAATACGTATATAACTGTTAACTAGTGAAGTAAGCAAGCCAATTGGCCCTTTGGGTGCGGTCCTTGGCCCATCTGGGGCATTTGGGAGGACAAAAAGTTTACCTGTGATTATGCTCTAGAGATGTTTCCTCAACCTTCTATTAATCCGAAGCTCCACCAGTGTTTCTTATCCCAAGGACCATTCTGCACAGCATTGCTATAAGAGTTCTCATGCAAAACTACATAAAAATTAGCCAAAATTTTTAATGTTAATTTGTTACTTTTATTTTCCTCCATTTGCCTTGCCTCCTTGCCTTCAAAGGAGTGAATGTGTGAACATTCAAATACAGCAAACATATCTGCATGGAACAGATGTATTTCTGCAACACTTTTGTGGACCACCTTCTGGTATCTTATGGACCAACAGTGGACCATGAACCTCAAAGTCAAAACCGCTGCAGCAAAAAGTCAGGGTACTGGGGAAAACACCTGGTAGCACCTGTGACTAGCTGTGCTGAAGGACAGGACATGGTCTCTCAGCCAGACTCCAGAGATGAGCAAAACTAGCATAGTTTGTTCTTTAGTTACCCTTGGTCTGCAGTGGTGGTAAGCACCAGTTGAAGGGGAAAAACTGCATAGCTGCAGTGCTGGAGGTAACTATGGCAGTGTGGGATCTAACAAGCCATCACCTCTCAGCCACAACAGGTTGTCCTATGGTTTGGTGTGTTTGCAAAGCTGAAAGCCAAGGGACAGTCAGCATAAACATGTGCTTTCCAGTAGTCTCCCTCACATCCATTCCCAGTTATGCTCTCGTTTCCACTAACAGAAAGGAAAGACATTTCTATGAAAGAACTTTTCTTAAAATGGAGGTCCACCTAGTTTCCTGTGCCTCTTTTCAACCTATTTCTAGTGCACCATGATAACTGAATCCTCCAGGGCTAACCGAACCACTGCAAAGATAACCCAGTTAGTCTTGCACTCTGTTGGGATGGGGAATTTCCAGAATGCTCAGAATAGGCCTTGTTTTGATCTTGCAAAAGGCCCTCAACAAAGCTCATAACTTCAGGACTCTTACAAATACCAGCTCTAGGGCAGATTTCTGAAGCTAACTTTTTCTCAACAGCCAAATACAGAGCCTTAAGATAGTAACGGCTCATCAGTGGGCTCACTTGGCCTTTGATCCTTTCTTTCCAAATGGAGAAAGACCCTTCTGAAAGCAAGCAAAATTAGATAGTACTGTATAGTTCACATGTACACTTTTGTTTCCTACTGTCACTTATGTTGTTTAACATCCTGATTTGCTCTGTACTTTGCAAAAGCTGCATCTACAGAGCGAAGTTAATCACCCACAACACTTGGTATAAAATATGAGCTTGGCTTTAAGCCCCAAATGCAACATTTGCCTGAAGATAACTCTCATTCTAAGTCCCCTTTTTAATTGTATGCTCTGGTCTGCATTGAGTGTAATAATAAAAAGTCATATAAATGCTTCTTCATTGATTTTTTTGGTTAAATATAAATGTACCCTCACTGGACCCTTTCCAAAAGTGTCATTTTAAGATTTGTAGCAGTTTAATAAACCTGATGTTATACTGCAGATGCAGGGTAGGCATAAGTGCCAGAGTCTCATAGCCATTGCCTGAGGCTCTCAGAGTAGCCTGAGGTAGGTAGTGGTGTGCTCTCCTGCCCGTGCATTTCAAAGAGAGGAGGGCTGGACCGGCTTAAGTACTTACAGCTGAGCATAACTCTTGCAGCAAGGCAAGGGCATTTATGCCTTTTTCATGGAGGCAACTTCGGAAAACCTAAGTGTAGTGTCTACTGCCCAAAGATTCCTTTAAAAATCTCAGCCAGAGTTAAGAAACTGAAAAACTAATGAAGGAAAACCCCCCTAAACCTCTTTTTTTTTTTTTTTTTTTGGCTAGGAAAATGAATTTATGATCAACATACAATTCTTCCATAGTTTTGGGGGTAAATTCAGCAACCAACAATGTATCTTATAACTGCACTTTTCACCACAATACACAGAAAAGACCATTCAAATCTAACATTTCGTAAACTTAAACACTGTAACAGCATAATAATTCTCAAATCCATAGTTACCAGAGGCATTTTAAAAATAACTCACACTAATAAAGCTTTTAAAAGAGGGCACAAAATACACACGTGAATGCTGGAAGGTCTGGTCTCCAGTCAGCACCCTTGGGATTTACATGGGTAGCTTCCATGATGGGCAGTATGAATTATGTATGGACATTTTTCATCCATCAGTATAAGAGAAAACCTATGCATCTCTTCAGGCTCCAAAATGTCCAGCACATGCTAACAGCTTTTTGTCCTATATATTAATGGAAATTAAATTAAGCTAGCCTGTAGTCTCTGAAATCTTTCTGTGCTGGCAAGTAATCCATCAAACAAATAGTTCCTATAATACTGCTCTTAGATCATAGTACAATCTGATGCCAGCGACAATTAATTATGAATCATACACATGCATTAAAATGTAAGATCTAAGCAATTTTCTTATATGTTACCTTTGACTTTGCTATAGCCAATGAGAGAAAATAAATATTCGGTGTACTTTCTGTTTCCTCCCTGACAAGTAATAATAATTAACCCCGTCCCTCCATGAGAAAGCTTATGAGATATGTGACTGCAGTGCTGATTCTACCAGCAGTCTGACACAGAGTCCTCTGTGTGTGTATGTATGCGTGTGCGTGTCTGTCTTGTACATTTCTTTGGCCAATTAATCTGGCTCTGAAATACTTGATCTCTTGCACCTGTTACCCACAAATAAATATGTCAGACCTCATTGTTTATGCCATCTCTTCCCCTTTTCTTTTTCTTTCTGTGCTCTTTCCCCTGAAACTTGGACAATGAGGAGGAAGAACACTTTGGTCCTGTTTGGCACGGGCTCATTAGAAATGATGTAAGCGTGTCAATTACCTTTTACTTGTAAGTCTGAATACAAATCTCCTACGCAAGTAGAGGATTTTTTTCCTGTCCCTTTGTTGGGGGAGTACTGCCCTGTATAGAGAACTGTAAGCTTTTTGTGGCAAATAAAACGTGAGACTTTTGAAATGTCATTTTTGCACTTTTACTGCTTGATGTCAGTGAACAGTCCATATCACATCAGTCAGTGTTAATTTCACAGTGTTCCTAAGTCTTGCATTTTCCCATAACCTCAAATGCCAAACAATCCAGGAGAGTATTGCAATTGCTTTTTGTTATCATTTTCATGCAACAGGCAGAGACAATCAATATTAGGCTTTAGGCAACAAATCTAGTTACAGATTAAAAAAAAAAATTGGAGGAAAGATGCAGCGACAAGAAAGCAGCACCGACTGAGCATGCTTCTACTGCGGCACAGACAGAAAGGTAGTGGACGTACTGTAGAAGCTGGCCATTACGTAGTTTTGGCAGCGATCACCAGTAAATTCATTTGGGCACCTGAGAGGAAAAACAAACAAAAAAAAAATGGTAGAGAAAAAACAGAGAAAAGAGAAGAGGTGAATATATGCTAAGAAAGAAGCTCCTTCAGTGTGAACTGATATGACTTGGTGAGTTCACTTTCAGAAACTGAATCTCGGTTTAGCGTATCAAAATGGCTCAAGATGTTGAGAGCAACTCATTTGCTCTGTGGAAATGAAAAGAAATCCCCCCCCGAAAAACCAGCCAAAACCAAACCAATCCAGATCAAAGTGTGTTTCGAGATGTGAGACAGAAATTCACCATTCCAAATTCCCAAATTGCTTTTAGGATGCACTTTCCACAAGGCAGCGAGGACACAATATCTGTACATCACTCATCTCCGTGAGTTTGCTCTTTTAGGGTTGCACTTTACAGCAGTCTCCCAAACAAGAAAGCTGCCAGTATGTGCAATACAAATGCATCTGTGAACGGATGGAAAGATCAAAAATCACATAAATGAGAAACATTTTGGAGGTCAATAATGCCATGGTGTACAGATTTTACTTTAGAGAATCAGGTCATAAATTAGTGAGTAAAGAGGCCGGTTCCAGCTGAACTGTGAAAACACCAAGTACTATTGATTTTGTTGCTGTAGTTGGGGAAGAAAGCAAAGTTCAGATTATTTTAACATACTTTCTTGGTTTTGGATTTTCATGGGCAGAGTTTCAGTACATCTTGCTCCAGTGAATCCAGGTTGGCACCTAAAGGGCAAAAACGTGATAAGCAATAGTACACCAAAACCACTGCACTAACAGACTGACATCTGCTGGCCTATGGAGATGGGAGTGCATTAAGCGACCTCCTGGTTAGGTGTTAGTGAAAAATGATCAGAAAAGGGGCAAGGAAGTGTAACCTTTCCAGAAGATAACACTTTGCAAAATTTACAGCAAAAATCCACCAGTGAAAAAATCTAGGAGGTCTTTTTGCTTGTCTGTTTTGAAAAAGAAAGAAGAATCAGGGCTAGCAAAAATGTATATCAGCTCATTGCTTATTCCACCTCATGAAGGGACCACGATGAGTTATTTAAACTTGCAATGCAGTGTGTAACAACAATTTACACTGTTGCTTTCACCAGTCACATAAAATCTGTGAAAATACCATATTTCCCTATTTCTGTAATGGCATGTTGTGTCTTCCAGTAATTTCCTTTGAAGGGGAATAGTTAAAACAGCAATCACAGAAAAGCCAAAAAAATTCCAAAAGTGAGAAGACAAATGCAAACCCAAAGGCAGAAGGTATATTCAACATGGCTGACAAATGGAAAAATAGTCAGTCCAGTCAATAAGTAAGATGAGAGGGCAGAGGTGCTCTCAAAATTTGAAGCTCCACAGCTGTCTCCCTTTCAGTTCATAAGCTCTTCTGCAGAAAACTTCAGTGCAGCTTTCCCTTTGGTCATAGTGAAGGAATTTCTCTTCTGTGCTTTGCCTGTCTTTTCTTCTGTTGCTGGCTGTCAATCCTTCTTCCTTCACCTCTATTCTCCATTTTCGGGCAGACCTCAGGTGTATACTGCCGATGTATCACCATAGCAATGCAGGCTCCTGTGCTTCAGACGTAGGTGTGAATGACTGTCCACCACACTAAACATCTACAGACTTCAATCTTCTTTCCCCCTCCTTCTTCTATCCAATCTTACTCAGCATGTAACCTGAAATTACCTGATATCTGCTTCCTTGACTACATCTCACTTGCGTTGCCTGTCTTCCTGATGCTCTCCATGCCATGGTGCAAGAATCTCCCCCTCTTTTTCTCCTGCTGCTGATGTGGTGCTAGTCTCCTTTTCAAACTGCTTCATCATTGACTTGCCAGGGCTGAAGAGCCTTCTTATTTGCAAACGCACATTGTTCAGAACAATTCTCCATCTCCTCTATCCATCCAAGTTTCACATGCATTGAAAGCTGTCCTGATTTTTTAAATTCAACTCTTCCACTATTGCCTCTAGCCCTAAGGGTCAGGGATGCTGCCCTTGCGCAAGTGGGACTTCCAGAAAAGCACTTTGGCAGAGGACCAGTGTCAGGCATAAACACTAGTATCTTGTTCAAATAAAACACACAGGAATGATTATTGTATTAAAAAAGGTATAATTTGAGGACCTGCAGATGATTCTTTGGAACTGATTTGCTGTAATGATATATTTGTTTGTTAAGGAAGGGAGTTTATGTTTTTCAGAGCCAAGATCACATCTTTTGATAAGTAACCAGTGTGGAGAGATCCCAGTCTCCACAGATATATTCAGCCGAGAAAAATACAACAAGGATTGTTGCACTTTGTTGAACAAAATACACAACTCTGTCATGAAAAGGTGATATGCCTGGGCATGATAGAAGACTTTTTGCACCTTTGATAGAAGGCAAAATGCCTTTGCTAGAAGGCATTTTGATCTGTGTTACTGAATGAGGGTAAAAATGTTTTACCTTTGTGATTTCAGTTTTATTTTGCACTATGGTGATCTTGTTAAATACCCATCCCTGGAAAGCTGGTGTTCACGCTTACATTGGCTTTCATTTCACAGGAACCTCTACATCTTGTTCATCAGGCTCAACCCTATGCAATCCCAATGAACGTGCTGCTGATTAAAAGCCTTAGGCTTTGCTCCTGCCACCAGCCTGTTGTGGTTGCTTGCTCTGTCTGTGCTTGTTTTCAGATGTTGGTGCAGCTGTGGAGGTGATGAAAACAACTCAAGCACTGGTGCAGACAATGCTGAAATCGCTTCCAGACTGAAAAGGGTCAGCCCTGTTGAGATGGTGCTGAAAACAGTTCAGGTGTGTTTATACTAGCTCTGAAACCATTGTCAGCAAATGGACTAGAGCACCTGCCGCTGAGATCAGGTCCAGGGTGAGCCAGCTGAGGCAGGAGCTGAGATGAGCCTTTTCACTTATGATTATGTGTGAATGCTAAAGGCATTTTATTGCTCAGATACACCGTGCAGTACCATTTCCAGTGCTGTTTCACAGGTTGTTTACTGTAGACTGTGCTTTTACAGCTTGTGACAGTGTTGTTTTCGAAACACCTTGTCCTACTCAAAGTTTCCAGACATTATTTCTTGTGGTGTCTTTCTTTTCTAGTTCATTACCCATGTACCATTTTCTTTTATGGCACTAGCAGAAGTTGGAGTCAAGCAACTCAGGGCAACAAGTAGACATTTCTGCTACGAGAGCCTTATAGTTTCCTTTCTGCCTAAAAAAACGGTACTTGGACTATTAAAAAAGGCTATTTAGACTATTTGTTGTATTAACTGGGTGAAACCACAATACTAAACCACATATACTAAAATAATTGCTTTTTTCCTCTATACACAGTAGTTGCAAAGAGCAGCATTTGCATATGCTCCGAAGACACTTCTCAGAACATCAAATGCATATCTTCAGACTGTTTTTTAGCAGGAGAGGAATGGCTGAATGGATCAGGACCTCACATTTCCATTTCATCCATTCCCTATAAGCAAATGCAGTGTGGGAGAATGGGTTTTTTTCATGGGAAGCACCGTACACTTCCACATTTACTAGTCCATTTCATAGCCTAAGTCAGAACTAGTATTTCTATCCTGCCTGTTGAATGAATATCTCTGGAACTTTTGCTAGCATTGTGGAGACAAATTTTCTCTTTTTGCTGTTTTCAAGAACCTTCTATTAATTTCTATTCCACCAAGGCCTTTGCATGAAGACGGATGTAGAAAATGACTATATCATTAAAGAGTACATAATTCACTCTTTCGCTGTTAAAGGGAAGAAGCAGCATTCTTCTGTTAGAGAGAAGCATTATTTTCATCCAGTGAAATTTGGACGTAAATTAATTTCTTCAATAACAACAAAAGCACTAGAAAAGATGATCTCTGTGAGCAAGGAATCAATTAGTCAGACCAGCAAGGCCTTCATGGTAGGATACTTCAAAAGAACACTCTAAAAGCGTAACAGATATTATATTCATATAGATTTTTCTTCAAGTAAGAAGGAAACGCTAGAGATTCTGGCCTTAATTCTGTATTTATTGAAGAAACTATCTGACTTTTTGTCTTCAGGGAACTTGGGGACCCATTTTCAACTGAACAGAAATGACTTAGGAACCTGTCTTATAGGAAGCCAGTAATGTCTAGGCTTCCAAAGTCCATGATGTTTTCAAAATGTGACTCACATTCCTATGAAACTTCTGAAAACTTTATACACTAGTTTATTTAAGTAGTCTTAAAACTTCCTTTTTCATCTTTCCCATTTTGAGATTGTTTTCTTCAGACTGGGGCCATAATTAAAATACATGTAGGGAACATACATGCTATCATAGATGTAGCTGTACAATGCATTACTAACTCTTCACACATTTCTTGAGTATTTCACATGGTTACCTCTTGAAAGCAGTGAATTTTCTAAAAGTTCACACCAGTATACATGAGAGCAAGATCTGATCCAGTCTAGATCATTATACTATGTATTTTACCAAACACTTTTTTTTTTAATACATAGTCAGATTTTAACAGAAGATGGATTTAGGAGCTCCTTTTTTATAATAGAATAGGAGGTTTACAAAACCAGAGACATCACTTGGAAAATTCCATGGTTGTTGTGAATCTGAGTCATGTTTTTTTGGTTAGGGATAAAACCAATTTAGAATGATATGGCTCATGCTTTAGAAATTTTGTTTTTGCTCTCAACAGATGGACCATATGGAAAAATGTGAACTTGCTACTGAGGCAGAAATATGAAGAGCAAGTACCATATTTCAAGCATTCTGTTTCCACAGGCATGTTCTGGGGGAAGATTTATTTTCTCAGAACAATGAAGGCAATGTGTACTGGTTAGATACTTATTTTAATTAACACTGGAATACTAGAATTAAAAGTAGACATCTGTATTTTTAATGAAATAAGAAGAGAACTGTATTTTGTCTCTTCAGTTTCCCAGTACACCCACTTTCAAGTACTCACACTTCTATTTCTTACGTGGCTATATTGCGTCTTGTTTTGCTACACAACGTAAAGTTTCAGTTCTGGCAAGTATTAGAGGGCATAGCAAAATGCCCTGCAAAATAGTGGTGGCCCTGACTGTCTTCAGGGTAAGAAACCTTTTCCACTGCCCCACTGTAAATGAGATTCACCCTCTCTGATTTTACAGCTCTGATGCTTTTTCCAAATAGGTCTTGGACCACCCAGAGAGAGGCACATCTGCCAAATTTGGGAAATGCTTTTTCTTTCAACTCCAGCCCCAGAAAAAAAGGTTATTTCTTGTCTACAAGAGGGAAAAATTCCCCATTTCATTCAAGTGTCTCCAAGACATTTAATTAAAAAACTTAGCCAATATATAACATCAAAGAACAAACACAGTCTGATCTCTGAATTTAAAAAAAAAGTCCACATACCAGTGAAAATGGGATACCTCTAAAACTTTCAAGACAATGCTAATTATTAGCAAGTCTGCTAGGTTCTCAGCTTTGCTACACTGGAGTTTTCTGAGCAGTGTTTTGACAGGAAGTTGAAACAGGCAGGTAGGCTCTCGTACATGCCCTGGAGAGTCATAGCAAACTGCTCATCTTGTACTGCTGACTTATAATGATCATGTAAATTTAACACAAATCTTTCTCCCTCTCACTCTCAAAAAAGCATCCAACCCACCAGAGCCAGTAACTTTTCCATATTCACTTTAGCTAAAAATGATTCTAAAGTCAATGAAATATTCATCACTTTCGGCAACAGAGCAATCTGTGAAAAACCAAAGCAAAACAAAGCTCATAAAGTGCAGGTAACATCCTTCTACAAAAAAAGAAAACTCACAATTAAAGCAGAACATTGTGGGGTTTGGTGTTTGTGGTTTTTTCGGGTGTTGGGTTTTTTTTGTTTTGTTTTTTTTTTAAATTCACAACAGAGACAAGCAGTCTATGCCTTCCTGGCCTAATGAAAGTATGATAGACCTTTACCTAACTCACCCACCAGACTCATCTTTACAATTAGTGTCATCTGAGTCTTAGTCCTAGAAGACTGAAAATCTATGCAGTTACAGCAGATGACAGTCTTCACTGACAACTGTCCCTTGTCTGTCTGAAAAATGGCAATATCCTCACAAAAGTGCTCTCTTTCCACTTAGTCCTGCTAGGTCCCAAGGATGTTTCCCAATGTTTAAATGCTGAGTTGCCTCTCAAGCTAGAGAGAAGCAGTAACTCACTATTAGTTCAGCTCCAGAGGTAAATGCTATGTGATGCGCTACCAGGCAGGAGGTGAACTCCAGTGCTGGAGCTCTTCATGGATGTTCTCCAACATAATGGACTATTGCAACAGTCTGATACTGTACAGGCCAGGACTTGAGAAAGGTGCACAAGCACACCCTTAAAACTAAACTCATATAACTTCCTGAATCAAGATCCTCACATGAAATAGTAACCTGCACCAATTACCATGACATTCATTGTTTTTTATGCAATTAAACACAACAGCAAACACTTCAGTTGTGAATCCAGTCTCATCAGAAAGTTTGTCCTGTATAAAGGGTACTTATCCAATGCAGTTATCCACACAGCTTTTTTTTGCTATTTGCAGGGTATTTACTTTACAGTATCTGTTTCATTATTTCTAACATAAGGCTTAAGTTGTGTTACTTCATGACATGTAAACATCAATGAGGCTTGCTGTGCCAGTATCACATGGGAAGATTTCCTGTTTAACCTCTGTTATGCCTCACATATAGAACACAGAGGTCATTCTTGGTAGGTTATTTTCACATCCACATGCTTAATAATGAAGAAGTATCTAATGCTGCAAGTACAGGAAAAGAAATTGCTCAGGTGCTCCTTTAAAGACAAAGCATTTCTGGAACCTGGTGGCTCCACCAAAGTAAACAAATAGGATTTCTTACCTGCACAGGTATCTTGGGGGGTTTGGGAGGTCTTTAACCATGTAACACTCTCCCCCATTTACACAGAAGGCTTTCTGCTTTATGTCACATTTCGTGAGATGACTTGTCCCAGTTGTAGATGTGGAAGTGGCTGGAAAAGACAAGAGTGAAAATATGGATCAGAATTGCTTAGTTTTAATTCCTGACTGTAAGTGTACTTGTATGTGAGGGAAGAAGTAAGGCCAGGGAGAATCTGGCAAATCCTCTGAGCTCTCTATCTGCTGCTACCACAAGCACTAATTAGCTGACCCTGTATTTTGTTGATTGACACAGGGGGTGGAGTTTAAATGCATACCTCAGAGATATGCTACCTTACACCCAGCCTGGGAGGAAGGGATGATTTCACTTGCCCTGTCCATCAAGTGACCTTAAATTTCTGCAACTTGTGTATTTCATTAAAAATGTGTGATTTATGTGTAGTTACTTATATTGCACTAATTGCATTCAAGTGATTTTGGGGTGTGAGTCATTGCAGCCTGCTGATATAGTGCCCAATAAAATGAGGCCTTGGATGAAGTTTCTTTCTGGCATTACCTTGAAGCAGGTGTTTTTTCAGTGGAGTTTAACCTGAGACCCTGTGCTGATTCAGTCCATCAGGACTGAACCCCTCGGACCAGCTACTGCCTGCTTCCCAGGGGACTGGCTGAGTGCTGAATGCCTCTTCCCCTGATCATAAACGAGAGCTGTACCTGCTCTGGTTTGACTGTGCAGGGAGGGAGAGGACAGGGGGCTGGAGGCATTGTCCTTTCCTGACTGTATATGATTGCCACCCTTGTGTCCACAGGAAACATTGATCTGGAGGCCAACCTCACTTCTCCTGCAGATGGGCTCATCTGCATGAAGTATTAACAGTTTTTGGCCACCAACGCTGCTAGACATTTAGGTGTCTAAATTGCTATTAAATGGAAGTACCACTGTGCCTGCTGTGATCCTTAGCTTACTCCCTACTGCGTTTAGGGAATACCTGGAGAAGGCAGGAGCAGGGTTTAGTTAGCAACCTTTAAAGAGGCTGCAAGGGTAGGATGAGAAATCCCAGCCTTAGGATTTGCCCATGCAATCTCTTGTCAAGGAAATGATAGTGCCCTGACCAAAGGGAGCAGTACTGTAGGAGAGACAGTGCTCAAAAAGTCCCCACTGCATTCACTGCTGGTAACTAGTACTGTAAGGTGAATCTACCTGAGGTTGCCCAAAACTAGCTAACAGCAACAGGGATGATGGGGAGCACATATTATCTCTTTAGCTCCTCACGCTGCTCTGTGCCTGAAAACCCACCTCTATGAGCTCAGTTAAACCTAAGTCAGGCACATACCTGCTAGGCTGCAGCTACAGACCCACACTACAATCTCTGGTTGCCCCCTAGTTCGGCTAAGTTTTGCTCTAAATTCTGTCAAAACAGGGTAGGCATGCTTGAAGCCTTGACACCAGCCAGTATCCAGCTCAGGAACCATGCCACTGATGGGCCATGTGATCTCTGGCACATCATTCAGGTTATTCATTTCACTTGATTTTATCTGCCTAAAAGTGAATAGTTTAGTTGAAAGGTGTGTTCCACCACTCACAGAAAGCAGCTTAACTTAGCCGCACAATGGGTGGGATAAACAGTCCCTCTGATGGTGTCTGTCTCCCTACATTGACTTCAGAGCAAGCTTAAGCTCTTGAGAATATGCCTCTAATTTTTAAATGGCTAAAACTAACTGACATGACTATCTGTCATCTGTAAAAAGTGGGGAAGATTCCTGCATGGTTTTTGTTTAGCCATCTCCAGACATACAGAAGTAAGAAATTTTGTTACAATGCTGAACAAATCCCAATATTTTTGTTTCTGAAAGATAGGTTCTACCCTGAGGTGGAACAATGCTTTTATCTCCTGACTGATTCCACTGGAGTTGACTAGACAGCTCCAAGCACCTACACAAAAGTTGTCTGATATTCAAAGCCTTTTCTAACATGAAGGCACCCAAGGGGCATGTTTATAGTAGGTGATGCGTGACATTCTACCATTTGCTGCACACACTGAATCCAAAGAAAACATGCTTTTAGCAGATTGGCTATCAACAAATACCACTCATACATTTTGAGTTCTTCTTTCTGAGAATAAGGACAAAGTAGTCTCTGTCACATTTGATTTTCTTGTGTTTCCCATCATCTTCCAAGTAAAACTGCATTTTTAGCACTTGGGAGAATGGGCCACCTTGGCTAGCATAATTTTCAAAGTGGTTTTAGCTATCTTGTTTCAATGAGACATGAGATAGTGACTGGGATATTTAATACCCCCTTTTACTCCATCAAAATCCCATCTGCCTGTACAGCTAACATCTCTCATACCCCTTCCTTCCTTTGCCATCAAGCACCAGCATGCCAGTGTTTTTCTCTTTCTTCCATGATACCTTGCTTGCATGGGGTGCCCTCCTCTGACAAGCCAGGAAAAGCCCTCCTATGACCTCTCCCAAAACTCCAGCTCCCTCCTGTTTCTCACTGTTGCACCCACCCATTGTGTCACAGCTCCCCAGACCCTGATCTTGACTGGGGCCTCTAAGTGCTAATGAAATGCAAACATGGAGTGCTAATTCCTCGTAATAACACATTCCTTTCTCCCAGCCCCTCAAAGCATGATTTATAACCTCTCAGACCAGCATAAATTTATGTCTTGTCTAAAGGCAGGAAAAGGGGTCATGTTTTAAGAGTAGTCTGACACTCTTTTGGCTAGCACTGGTTCAAACAGGACTTTGCACCCAATGTTGACAAAAAGCTGGCCAACAGATTGCCATCAGCTCAGTGGTAAAGGGTCGTCTATGCTTGATGTTAGTGGGTTGACCACCATCCTTGACATGAATCTTAGGATAGGGAGATTTGACCTGTGGAAGAGCCTTTCCTTCTTCACTGGCTTGAAAGGAGCCTGGATTATTAGCCCAAAGGAGATGCCTGACACAACAGGCTATGGCACACCAAGACCTAAAATGTGACAAACACGGGTGAGTGAATCCCATCTATATAGTAATGCACCTTTTGAAGTCTTTGTGAATCTTAACAGCTAAACTCACTAATAAGCTTATCCCTGCTGATAGCCTATCCCCCATTGTATCCTTTTTCCTCATCGAGAGACTTCAACCTGCAAGTGAGACAAGCACTCTGAGGGATGTCCTTGAGCTCAGAAAGCTAATGCATTAATTTGGAAGCGAAAAAAAGCAATATTGTCTGCAGCATTTCTGACAAAAAACCATTTTGCTACCCTGCTGGCTAATGGAATGTTTTAAATTGAATTATGAAGGTAGATATAGTAGCAAGTGGGCTTGTAGCTATCTATAATTGTTTTCATCGTCTTGTTTACTGCTTTTTCTTTAAGCAGCAGCTCAATCAAAAGCAGATCACTGTGGAGTTTCAAAGTAACAGTTATTTCCCAGCTGGTGTAAGTGAGCTTTGGATAGCAGCAATTGCTCTGAACTGATTACTAGAGATGGGAATAATCTGCAGCTCTCAGAGAAATCTCATGATGCAAGGGCTTTACACATATTTGTGAGGAGTGCCTCTACCCACGTTTTTGGCATCGTATGCTCAAAACTGTTGTATAAATCTTGCACGAGAATTTTCTCTGCATTACTGATCCACTGGCACCGTAGTCCCAATCTGCCTGAGCTTTGTAACTCCATGGGGTGAGGGGAGGAAAAAAGTCTCCAGGGAGTTAATTCTGATATTAATTTTTTTTTGCAAAGGATGCATAGTTTTTATGGCATATGGCCAGCATTCAGTGTATGCACTGTAAGTCTATTTTGCAAATTAAATACAAGAAACACTAACTATGGTTTTGGGTTTCACTTAAAGCCACGTAACGGAAGAAATGTGGTGTTTGGGAGCAGGTGTTCATCAGAGCCCATTTCATACAGCCCATAACTAGCCCCAAAACACTGCCTTTCCATACATCTCTAGTAGACATGGGCTTGGAGGGTGAATAGTGGGAATGATCGGCAGTGGTGAGGTAAAGCACAGCTGTAGATCACATATCTGTGTGTTGTTCTTTATTCACCTAGCCAAAATTCATACCCCCTGCAATGTTTTCTGCAACTGTACAAGCACAAGATAGAAAAGTTGGTTTGTTCTAGAGTCCTATACCAAACCCCTAGCTTACTGAAAGGACTAAATTACATGCTGTAATGAAATTTGAAAATATCATGCATGAGATAACATCTGAAAACACTCCGTACTCTACCTTTTTTTTTTCTTTCTTTCCTGAATGCAGAAACACCATACTTAAAAAAGCAACTGCAGGAAGTATGAACAAAGTCCCCACTAATGCAAATATTCACATGGCATTGAAAAACAGTGAGGTCTGCCATCTATGGGAACTGCCTAAAGCCATTAAAAAGAGGCAAAATAGGAGCTATTACATCTTTCAAAAACTACTCTCTAAAACATGAATTACTGCTATAAAACTACCTTAGGATCATTTCATATCAAACAGACACAACTTCATGTAATTCTGAGCTTACCTGGGGAATCTCTGACCCTTTTTTGTCCTGAAACAGAAAAATGCATTCTCTTTCTCTCTCTTGCTTTCCAGAAAACCCTCTGAAGTTCAGTGGCTACAGCAGCAGAACTCCCAGGCCCTGCACAGGTGAGGCAGTCTGCTGAGAGGAGCCCTAAGGGATATCTGAGTACAGACTGAGAGGAAAGGGCTTTGCAACCTAAACAGAATAGTATCCATATCTCTTTGAATTGAGTTTCTGCAAAGCTGGTGTAAAATCAGAGGACACACTCAAAGTCGTGCAAGGTGACTAGTGAGATGCTTATGACTCGATGGAGACAAAGCCAAGTGGCAGCTGCAGCACAAAGGAAGGTTTGCCATTCTCACTGAAAGGCCACTTACAGATGTAAATATGTCACCTTATTGGACTGCAGATGGATACCTTTCCAGTCTCCTTTTGTGGACAAAAAGAGTAAATTACTGGGGAATAACAGAACAAATACTTCTGCTTATCACTGTTTTCTGCAATTAAGGCTTGAGAAAAGCCTACTTGCAGCTTGAGCAAAGCCTACTTGCAGCTCATGCCAATACAAGAGCAAGGGACCTGCATGGAGTGAGGGAGGGAC